GGAGGCGCCCCCGGGGCTGCGCCGGTCCGGGGGGGGCCCATGGGTGAGACGAGTCTGGCCGGTCTCAGCTCAGCCCCGGTCCATACAGCGCTGCAGGGGGGCTCAGCCTCCAGCCCACAGATCTCCTTGTGCCCCCGCCGGGGGGCGCCCTCCGGGGTGCTGCCGTCCCCACCCCCCGGCGCACTGTCCAGGTGCTGGGGACACCTGTGGAGGGGGAGGGTCCAGCGCCAGGTGTTTTGGGCTGTGGCTACATCCCAAAACATCCGCTTTGCAGCCCGGTGGGTCCCTGTCTACGGCGAGGGTACCCCGCTGTGATGGTTTTGTGGGGGGAGGGTTTGGGTGCCATTCCTGTGTCTCATTCCGGTTCCCAGACTCCCAAGTGAAAGGAGTTTGTTCGGTCTCGTCTCTGCTTGCGTATAGATCAGCCTCGAGAGGCGGCAGCAGGGAACCAGGCCTCCTGGGGTCTATCCCCAGCACCCTCACGTCCCCAACGTGTGTGACTTTGGGCAAGTCACTTCACCCATCTCTGTTCCCCGGTCTGCCAGGTTAGCAGGATACTGACCTGCCTCGCTGGGAGACTGACCTGATATTTGTAAAGTACATTTGCTCCAAAGTATCATCGGTATTATTATTATTAGGGACCAGAACATCACCCCCTACTTTCCTTCACCAGCTGAGAGATCCTGGCTAGCACAAACCGCTCAAGCTCCTGGGCTCAAACACATGTGGCAAAACGTGGGACAAAGACCCAAAATGAGACACGAGAAAAGGGCAGGTGATTTAAAGGACACAGGCTTCCATAGGTCAGCAGCAGTTTTCTTCTCTCTTGCCACAGTTGCATGAGGCAACATTTCTGACATCAGTGATTTACCATGATAAAAGTGAGCACACACCAAACCTGGAGGTAAACAGGGATCTAAAATGAAGTGCCGTTCTCCGAGCAAGACCAGCAAACTCCCAAGGGGGTTGGAACCAGAAGCCTTAGAGCATGAGCCTCCCACACACCCACCAATCTCTCACTCTGATTGCTTGTCCATGCGTAATCTTTATTTTGCAGTAACCTTGTCCTGGGAGAAGAGATGTTTGTTGGGGAGCCTGGGGGGAGGACGGTTTGTGTAAAAGGTAGAGGTTTGCCTAACAGGAGATGCGGAAGGAACCTGCACTTTGCTCTCAACACAAATATTGACCCAGCCCAACTCCAGAGCTGACCCCACTTTGATCTAGGGAGATGGGTGGAGCTGAGGAAAAGCCAGTGGCTTTGTTTGGGCTCTGTGGGTCTACACTGCAGCTGGGAGAAACTTAGCTCCCAACTTAGCATGGTGGCTTAGGCTAGCCGCCCGAGTCCAAGCCCCACCAATCAGACCCCCAACGAGGGGGGTCTGGGCTCAGGTCACTAGCTTGAGCTGCCATGTCCACACCGCTCTTGTTAGCAACTAGCGTGAGCAGACGTAGCATGAGTCTGTCGCCCCAGGCTGGGAAGCTTGCTCCCAGCTGCAGTTCAGCCCTACTTCCCCCAGCCCTCAGGTAGTTAGGGCAAGATCCAGTGATAAATGTTATGTCTGGGAACCCTTTTCTCAGCTCTTTTCAATGTACACAACCTATTCAAGGCTCTTTTTTGATGGGCTGTCAGCAGAGACTAAGTTCTGCAGAGAAACTAAGTTGCCAAGGAGGGAATGTCGACTTTAATGGAGAGGCAGAATGATCTAGTGGCTGGGGTAAGGGCCTTGCAAGCTAGAAACAACCACCTCGCGGATAGTTCTCTGAAAACATTGGCTCAATGTGCAGCGGCAGTCAAAAAAGCAAACCATGTTAGGAACCATGAGGAAAGGGCTAGATAATAAGATGGAAAATTGCCACTGTATAAATCCATGGTACGCCTACACCTTGAATACGGTGTGCAGTTCTGGCTGCCGCATCTCAAAAAAGATATATTAGAATTGGAAAAAGCACAGAGAAGGGCAACAAAAATTATT